TCCATCCATCCATCCATCCATCCATCCATCCATCCATCCATCCATCCATCCATCCATCCATCCATCCATCCATCCATCACGGCCGAAGCCATGACCTCTCCAGTGTTCCTCCGCTTGCACCATTTGAGTGAAGCGAGCGGGCACGGGAGGACTCGCTGTTGCAGTTCTTCAAAATTTAAACGTTAATCAAAAACTGAGTTATGAATATGAAGAAAATAAAAACGTATATAAGTTGTTTTGGCGTATAAGTCGCAAGGACTGACAAATCTATGCAAAAACCTGCAATTTATATGCCAGAAAATACAGTATACATTATTAAAATAATACCACTTTAGTATTGTTAAATCTTTGTACATTTATATAAAAAAAGCATAATTCCCATTGGGATGGTCCAAGAAACCTTTGTGACTGGGGCTAAGACACAAAGAATCCACTTTGGATCTGGTCAGACTATCCTTTAGTTTGTTGATCCGGTCAGAAAAAAACCCTGTTGCATCAAACGGAGGCAGTTCAAAGAGTGTAAGATAATACAGTCTACTTCAACAATATCTGAACTATCCCTTTAATTTAGTATATAGAGAGAGTGGATTGTTCTGCAGAGGAAAAAGGTGAGAAGCATTGTCCAGTGTATTAGGTGATAGTAGGAAGCCAAGAGACACCTGAGAACTTTCATGAAAACTTATTTCCATGAAAAGGTGTGTTTTTGCTCATTTTACCACCCGGAGCAGATCTGCCTCAAACTGGCCTCGTGTCGTCAAACAGGAGTGGGTGTTAAGATTCAAACCAGCCGAATGTTTCTGGAAGAACAAACACAGCAAATCAAACGGATAAGTACAGAAAGTCTGCCACTTCGAGTCTGACTGGGATCGATAATCCATCAAATGTATTACGAGCGCTTAAAAAACAAAACAAAAAAAAACTTCCTTCAGATTCAGACCCAGTGACGACAAAACCAGAGCAAAAACCTGCACCTAAAACTTGTTCTCCCACATAGAAATCCACAACGGCTGCCACGTGAATAAGGTTATCTGGTTTTACACATAATGAGGTCACAACCATACATTGTTATATGCCCTGAAGAAGAAAACAAAGAAAACAAAAAAAAAACAACACATTTTAAAACTTTTTCTGATTAAAAATAGAGAATATTCATTCTTACTTTTTATAGAATTCTAAATATATAGATATTATTTTTCCTGCAGTGAAAAGATGGTTAAAGATTTCAAAGATGACACACAAAATAACAATAAAGATAATAATGACAATGAAAGGTTAAAATAAAAAAAAGTATCTCCTCTGGAGGATCATTGTCAGTCAGTAGCTGTGTTTGTGGGTGTAAACAATTCTTTAGCCTTCCTAGTTTGTTCTCCAACCTTCTCTGTTGTTCTCCAAATATTCTGTACATTTATGCAGAAATAAATAATTCACAGGTTGTGCATACATAGAAGTTTAGCATATACTGGCTCTCATTTGGGATATATATTTTTTAATCCTTTTGGCGTTGAAGAACAAAAAGAGATGAGTTTGTGAGAGAAAACCTGAGATAGTGTACTTCAAGTGAGCTGAGATTCAGTTTGTCTTTCTGTACTGATGACGGTTCTTCTCTTCTTTTATTTTGGCATTGATGGTGTAAAAAATGAGGTTGCTTTTTGGCTTTTTCTTTGCGTGGCAATTCAAAAAAAAAAAGAAGAAGTGGAAGGTGTTGGAGTTTGTTAAGACAACGGGTTGTTGGAGGTTGAGGTAGGTGTGTTCTGCTGCTGCTGCTGCTGCTGCGGAGCGACGCGACTGCTGACGGGCTTGTTGGGGAGGGACGACGCAGACGCTCCAGACGAGGACAACCCTGCTGCTGCCTGAGCAAAAAGAACGCCTGGACAGAGGAAAAAAAAAAACAAAAAAAATGATGAACATAAACAATGAACATGACTATTGCAAAATGTTCCCAGTTTATCCAAATATCGCTAATTTTCAGCTAATTCTAACCAAAAGCTGGTGACAATTAGGGTTGCAAAGGGTTAGAGCATTTCCGGTATATTTCCAAAAAAACATTCCAAAAACTTCCCATGGGATGTTAAATGGTGGAATTTAGGAAATCTTCCAAACTGGAAACTTTCCGTGTGATTTGTGAGAGTTTCAAGTTCAAGAATTTTTATTATCCTCAAGGGGGGAATTTGTTTCACAGTCAGTAGTCACACAAAACATCCAGACATTGAGACGTTAAAATAATAATACATGAAATCATCATTGATCGTTGAGAAGCCTGATCGCTGCAGGGATGAATGAGTTTTTCAGTTTGTTCATCGTACAACTGTGCAGTAGATACCTGTGCTGCGTCCACATGGAAGCAGCCTGAACTCACCACTTGCTCTTGCTGAGGTCGGACGCTTTTCCCCTCCCCTCCCTCTCCGCTTTGCTTTGCTTTGCTGCTCTGTCTGTGAAACTGCTTCTGAGCCTCTCTACATATCTTCTGAACCATAATTATGGACTTGTTTTGATCATCTGGTCCCTCAACACAATTGATAACATTTCTTCGAAAAGAAGACAGGCTTTAGGCGAGCCGATTTGCCCTGTTGGCACGCACGCAGCTGGATATCTCATCGACTTGAAGACATGATGATGTGTCTATCTCTGCTGCCATTTGTGGATTTTAAGGATGCACATTTAATTGGATTTACAATAACTGGTTCCTGCTTTTTGGATTTGGCTGGTTGCTGGTTTTATCTACAATCAAGGAAGTTGTCGGCAGAAAATTTGGATCCGATCACACTGCTTGTCTTATGATGGCTTGGTTCATGCCTCAAGTACCCAGACTCAAATGCTTTTGGCAGAATGGATCAGATCTCGGGGATTTTACTCAGGCACATTCCATTGGTGTGGCCGTGTAATTTGGACATTTCGAAACCGTTTGGACCAACACAGACTCAAGGTAAATGTCATTAAGTTCTGCCTGTCCCCAAAATAACTGTGTGTTTATCTGAATTTGTCTGCCTTGGCTGGCCTTGAAGGCCACCTTATCTGAAGTCGCCTGGAGAACATGTGATCTGACACTCACCCCCTTCCACCCGAGGAATTTCCAACTAATCAACAAGAGGAAACCAGCTGAATAAACATTGTGTCATCATTTCAGAACTCTTGAATTCTCATAAGCGTTGTCCTTGGCCATTCTCCAACATCCCTCGAGAATGTTTACGGATATCACCGGAGGGAACTGGTTGATTATCCCATCCTTATCAGAACTCTTACGGTGCCCTCGAGAGCGTCCATGGACATTGCTCAACGCTCTCGTCTTCTCCCCCCCTTTGCAGAATGTCTACGTCACCATGTGCTTGTTTGTGCGAGGTGTTTTTTAATTGGAGAGTTTTTCTTCTCAGCCAAGAAGAAAGAGTGATAGGAATTTTTTTGCTTCCAATTCCTACATGTGTCCAGTTTCACTACTTTTTGTCTGTCTAAACAGATCTCACTTGTAAATGAATCTTCTAGGCTCATTGTGACTTATCTGTATAAATAAAGGTTGAATGAATGAATGAATGAGCAGATGATCAGGATCTGCCAGAATCAGCCTGGCCTTGTTCACCGACCCTGCCTTGTGTAAGTCAGTTAGGTTCTGTAGGGCTATGCCAGCAGTTTAACTGTTTAAACTGGGGTTTAACTAAAAATTAGGGGTAATTCAAACAAACTGCAGCAATAATATTTTAGGATTGTTGAGGTGCACGGTGGCTCAGTTGGTAGAGCTGTTGCCTCTCAGCGAGAAGGTCGTCGAATCGAATCCTGGCTGGGGGCCTTTCTGGGTGGAGTTTGCATGCTCTTTCTGTGCATGCGTGGGTTTTCTCCGGGTACTCCGGTTTCCTCCCACAGATCAAAAACATGTATGTTAGGATGATTGGTAACTCTAAATTGTCCCTAGATGTGAGTGAGAGAGTGAATGTTTGTCTCATTTGTCTTTATGTGTCTCTGTGATGGACTGGAGACCTGTCCACCTCTCGCACAGTGACTGCTGGATATGGGCACCAGTGACCCCCACAACCCAAAAAAGAAGAAGCGGGTAAAGATAATAAATAGATGGATTGTTGAGGTTCATATATTTATTAACAAGTTATTGAACCAGCTTGTATAAGATTTACTAAGAAAAATATTTCCCTCAGACAAGAAAAAAGGTAAAGTTTCACCTGGTTGGGACAAATTCTTTAAAATAAATTCACATGTAAACATGTGTACATGTATATGGTATGTATGTGTATACAAATACTTGAAATTATTTGACTAAGACAAAACAAAATGCTGATATTGTTATTTGAATATGATGCAGTTTGATCATGTATTATCTGCTCATCATAGCTCTGCACCACAGGAACAGATCTTTGCTCTTAATGCTTCTACCAGCACAAGTAGAAAAAAATCAATCATTTATCAGAAACATATTCATCTAAACATTGTTAAACATTTTATTTTTTTTACAGAAGTGTTAATATTATCACAAAAAAGACAAAGTAAAATCTAATAATACACAAAGGGCTCACTGAAGGTGAGAAATCAAACTGTGCGGTGATAAAAGTCTTAGATGGCTGGGAGTTTCCACAGGTGGTGAGTTATCGTTGTTCAAACTGCTCATTTGCTTAAAGAATACTAGACCTTAACTTCACGCAAAGAACAGGAGTGGTCAACGCAATGCCCCGTCTGCACCAAGTCAACAAATACAACCAGAATACATTTTCAAACAGCAAAGAAATGATAAACTAAGACATCCACTAGTATAAAAATGCACAAATTGAAAAAACGATTTGCTAAAAGAATGTGTGTTTTATAAAAATGTATGAATATACAGATATAAGCGAGTTTACTGGATCAAAAGGAAGGAAGTGATGCGCTGTATATCCTGTACCACATGACAGGGGTACTCACCAGTGTACACCACTCCATTGAGCTCCACTGACATGCTGATGCTGTTTGTGCCGTTAGTGGTGAGGTTCAGGGCCGAGTCTTGCCTGCCATCTGTCAGAAACACAACAGTTCTTAATGCTGTTTTTATTATTATTAATTTATTCATTCA